CTCTAAAACTTGTAAAGACATATGCAAAACAAAACACCATAAAAATAAAAGTATAACAACTTAGAGTGTATACAAACCAAAATTTTAAATGAATTAGGTTAATGTTAAGCCGAAATGTTTGGGGAATTAATGCAAAAATATCATCCCACTTCATTTACAACTCAGACATCCACAATGGTCATTGCTTTTGAAGTATAAATGCTAGAAAATCTTAAATCACAATAAGAAGCGAGTACTATTTTCTTTATCAATCATCAATAATCAAATATTTCATGGGGGCACACGAGTAGAACCAAGTACTCCGGAGGCTGAGGCAGGAGGATTGCTTGATCAAGATCAGCCTAAGCGACTCCATTTCTGTAAGACACTTTCTCGAAAGAACAAAAGGAGGGAAGGAGGAAAGAAGGGGTGGAGGAAGAAAGAAACAAAGAAAGAAGAAAAACGAAGAAAGAAAGATGGGGAAGGGGGAAGGGAGTGGGGAGGAAGAGGGGTTGAGAAAGGAACAGAGGGAAGGAAGGGATGTAATGTTTGGGATGGTGTAGTAACGATTTAGGACTCTGAGCGCCGCTGTTCACCAACTGAAAGAAAAACTCCGCGCTCCATCCGGATTTTCACGTCAGCAACTACACAAAGCCCTGCGTATCCTACAAACTGGCTCCCGGACTATAGCAACAATCAACCTTTTAACTTGGGGCGCTCTGACTTTCTCCTGAGGAATGAGTATCATCGGACAGCTGTAGGAAGAAAAGAAGAGCCTAGGGAGTAAGTGGGCACAAAGGGAATTCTGAGAAAATTCCGTAGCAAAAGCAGCAATGGCTGCCGGGGCCAGACGCCCGCCCTGCGGAAGACTCGCCCTCCTGTGCGCGCTGCTGGGGATGCTGTGGGAGGCCAGCGCCAGGCAGATCCGCTATTCAGTGCCGGAAGAGACAGAAAAGGGCTATGTAGTGGGAAATATCTCTAAGGACCTGGGACTGGAGCCCCGTGAGCTCGCGGAGCCCGGAGTCCGCCTCATCTCCAAAGGTAAGACCCAGCTTTTCTCTCTGAGCCCGCGAAGCGGCAGCTTGGTCACCGCGGGGAGGATAGACCGGGAGGAGCTGTGCGCCCAGAGCATGCCCTGTCTCCTAAACTTTAAAGTCCTGGTTGAAGACAGAGTGAAACTTTATGGGGTGGAAGTAGAGGTGCTTGATATCAACGACAATGCGCCGAAATTTGAGGCCGAAAACTTGGTAGTAAAAATCAATGAAATCGCTGCCCCTGGAGCACGGTATCCACTCCCAGAAGCGTTTGATCCAGATGTGGGCGTGAACTCCCTCCAGAGTTACCAGCTCAGCCCCAACCAACACTTCTCTCTCCACCTGCAAACCGGAGATGATGGAACTATAAACCCAGAGCTGGTGCTGGAGCGCACCCTGGACCGAGAGGAAGAGCCCATTCACCACCTGGTCCTCACCGCCTCCGATGGCGGCGACCCGCGCCGCTCCAGCACAGCGCTCATCCAGGTCACAGTGTTGGATACAAACGACAATGCCCCTGTTTTCGACCAACCGGTTTACCGCGTGAAAGTCCTTGAGAACGTGGCCCCGGGCACCCTGCTGCTCACAGTGAGAGCTAGCGACCCGGATGAGGGTGCCAATGGGAAAGTGACATATAAATTCCGGAAAATTAATGACAAGCAGTCCATTATGTCATTCCATCTTCATGAAAACACCGGAGAAATGACAGTAGCGAAAACTCTGGACTATGAAGAATGTTCACTGTATGAAATGGAAATTCAGGCTGAAGATGGTGGGGGGCTGAAAGGGCGGACCAAAGTGGTAATTATGGTAGAAGATGTAAACGACAATCGGCCAGAAGTGACCATTACATCTCTGTTTAGCCCGGTGAGGGAAGATGCGCCTCCAGGGACGGTAATCGCTCTTTTCAATGCACATGACCAAGACTCAGGGAAGAATGGTCAAGTTGTCTGTTCCATCCCGGAGAACGCCTCTTTTAAGTTAGAAAACTCAGTAGATGATTACTATAGGTTGTCGACAGCCCAGACTCTTGATCGAGAAAAAGCTTCCGAGTACAACATCACAGTGACCGCAACAGACAGAGGAACCCCATCCATGTCCACAGAGATTCACATCACCCTGTATGTAGCTGACATCAATGACAATCCACCTGCCTTCTCTCAAACCTCCTACTCAGTCTACCTCCCTGAAAACAACCCCCGAGGCACCTCCATCTTCTCAGTTACCGCCCACGACCCCGATGACAAGGAGAACGCTAAGATTACTTACGCTTTGGTGGAAAACACCATGCAGGGAGCACCACTCTCCTCCTACGTCTCCATTAACTCTGACACTGGTGTGCTCTATGCTCTGCAATCCTTTGACTATGAGCAGTTTCGAAATCTGCAAATGCAGGTGACGGCAAGTGACAGCGGCCATCCACCACTCAGCAGCAATGTGTCCCTGACTGTGTTTCTGTTGGATCAGAATGACAATGCTCCCAAGATCCTGTACCCCTCCCTCCCAACTGATGGCTCCACCGGGGTGGAGCTGGCTCCCCGCTCAGCAGAGGCCGGATATCTAGTGACCAAAGTAGTGGCAGTGGACAAAGACTCTGGACAGAATGCTTGGTTGTCCTACCGTCTGATCAAGGCTAGTGAGCCTGGACTTTTCACAGTGGGGCTCCGCTCAGGGGAAGTACGCACAGCTCGGACCCTGCTAGACAGAGATGCACTCAAGCAAAGCCTCGTGGTAGCTGTTCAGGATCATGGTCAGCCCCCTCTTTCTGCTACCATCACTCTGACAGTGGCTGTGGCAGACAGCATCCCGGACATCCTGGCTGACTTGGGCAGTATCAACACTCCTGTGGACCCTGATTCTGATATCACGCTCTACCTGGTAGTAGCAGTTGCTGTGGTCTCCTGTGTCTTCCTAGTCTTTGTGCTTGTGCTGCTGGCCCTTAGGCTAAGGCGCTGGCACGCTTCGCATCTGCTGCAGGCTACAACGGGTGGATTGACTGGGGTGCCACCCTCACATATTGTGGGTGTGCAAGGGGTTCAAGCTTTCCTACAGACCTATTCTCAAGAGTTTTCCCTCACACCTGACTCTGGGAAGAGTCACCTGATCTTCCCGCAGCCCAACTATGCAGACACACTCATCAGCCAGGAGAGCTGTGGGAGAAGTGAGGCCTTGTGCGGTTCAGTTGAGTCCAAGTTTCCTATTGATGACACTCCTTTGGTTCCTGTGAGTTTTGGGTTTTCCCCTTTATTGTTTATGATAATTACTTCTCTGCTTTCATGTTGCATAAGTTGATAGTTAAGTATTTGTAACCACTCAAGTTTTCACTGAGTCTAGGCTTTCAGTTTATTGGTCAGACATCGCTGATGTGATTTCACTTTCTTATCACGAAACTCTTGTCAATGGGGGCAGTTCTTATTATCCTGCATGGATGGGGCTGTTTGGATAGAGCTCCTTGGTTGGTCACAGTGGCTCTCTACTCTCTCTTCAGCTGGAGTTCTCTTCCTGACATTAATTGATCATTATTCCTAATGCCCCTCATTGTAGCTCCTGCTCCTAATACGGTTTCTAGTGCGACACTTTTGTAAGGGTAAACTAATAAGTGCCCCTTTCTCAGAGAAACAGCTGAAAACCCACAGTCTCTGCCCCCCCCCCCATTTCTATTTCTATGACAGGAAAATACCTCGATGAACTGTTTTTCAGACTGTAAGTTTGTAGAAAGTATTTGTGCTTAAAGATCTTTTTTGAGGGTGAGTCAAGCTTCAGCTATCATTTCCAAACCCCAGCAAAGCCCTTTTTGCCTTTTCTTCTTTTAATGATGAAAATTATAGCATTCTTTATGGTAATAGCATTAAAGGCTTGGGTTTCCTAATGCTATAGTATCAAGTTATGGAAAACAGCTTGACACTCTTCTTTCAAGTGTATGCTTGCCTAAGAGAAGTTGCTAATATGGGGAATTAAAATTTTGTCAAATACGGGGAATTAAAATTTTGGCTCCGGCTCAATTCTCCAATCTCAGGGAGTAGCAAGGATGTAAGTGAGAAACTGGTCTCAGGACATGCTGCAGTAGATTCTGAAAAGATTTTCCTGGATTTTAGCTATTAGGAAAAATAATGTATTACTTGGTTTTTAAACATAAGGCCAGAGTTCAAGTAACAAATGGCATGCAGGAGAACACTTGATCGTAACTCTGGAGCATTGCTCATTGGTTTAGGAGTTGCCTATCCTGTGTGAGACACTCAGTTTAACCTGTGTCTGCAAAAAGAAAGGGAAAGAAACAAAACTTTCAATTGTCTATTCTAAGCCTGGTGCATGCCTTTAATCCCAGCATTTGGGAGGCAGAGGCAGGCAGATCTCAGTGTGTTTAAGGCCAGTCTGGTCTACAGAGTGAGTTCCAGGACAGCCAGGTCTTCGTAGAGACACTGTCTAAGTTCTTTTTCTATTGTAAACTTGTGTTGCATAGATAGGTTGCTGACTGCTGGTGTTTCTATGGACATAGAGGGTTTTGTATATAATAATGAGTTTAATATATCTAGACATTGGTATTATGATGTATAATGGATATCTAATATGATATATAGACATTTTAATTTCTTCAAGCATTTTTTTAATACTACAGGTGTGGTTCAGGGCTAGAGTTGTACACAGCTCTGGGTTCAATCTGCATCACCTTAAAAACAAAATAAAAGAAACCCCTCTCTTCTGTATGCTAATAGAAGGAAGTAAGAGTTCTTTGAGAATCTTATTTTCTACTCATGCAGTATGGGGATTTTTCAAATTTCTCTTCTGAGGAGTCATATTTATATTTAAATCCATGAGTATAAAATGCATGTTCATTTTGGGAAAACATAACATAGATACTCATGATGCATGTATCTATGACATGGTAAGTAGATAACAGTCTACACAAAACTTCACTTCTCTTTTCAACGTTTATTAGCATATATTAATGACGACATTTTCATACATGTGTGTGATGTGTTTCAATCACACTCACTCTCCCATTGCCACCCCTTACCTCCACCCCACTTCCTCTTCCCTTTCCTCTTCCCAACTAGCCCCGCTCCAATGGTCACGCCTTCCATGAGTTTTTTATCGGAGTGGTTTACAGGAGCACAGGTGAGGATAATTTTGTTTTGTCTTGGTTTGGTTTCGTTGGCATTTTGATTCAGGGTCCCGTTATATCTCCCAGGCTAATCTTGAACTCTTCACCTTGTGGTTGGAGACACATGATTTCACACCCACCTGTCCCTTAGCTAAAAAACCACAACATAGGTAACTGGATTGCTGACTGAGAAGACCGTGGGAAATGGTCAATTCCAATGCTCTTAAACTATGTGTGTAGATAACAGGTTGTAGAACATAAGTAGGCTGGAAAATGAAATAACTGGTAATTTTGTCTCCTTTTAAAAAGGAAGTGTTAAAGTACACTACATATCTTCCAAGTTTATCCTGAATATCCAGAAAGTTCAATACACACTACACAAAAATGGGCCTTATGTTCATCACTGTTGAAGTTGGTTAGTCTGATCTGTACGTGAAGATTCACAACATAATACATAATATTCTGTAGTGTGGTATACGTTTCAAATTATATATAATTGTCTTTAAAGCGGTTAAACATGTAAGTATCCACTGTAATCCTGTAGTAAGATTAAATTTCGCGGCTATTTCATAGCTGCATGTTCAGAGCAATATCTACATTTTGGAAAAGGATTTCTAAACAAAATAGATTGCAATTCCACTCGAAGCCTCTGGGCGCCGCTGTCGGCCAGTGCAGAGCAAGCTCCAACGCCCGGGATCCCTCAGTCTCTAGGCTGGAATTTCCTGCGCAGAAACGAATACACTCCAAAGGGAACTCTCGCTCACAGAGACTAAGACACCGATTTCCAGCCCCAAACTGGGGTCCGGCTGTACGGGGACAGATGCACCTCCGCCTCGGAAGACCGCACTCTAGCATACTGTGAAGATCCGAAGACCTAGAGAGAACCCGAGTCAGCAATGGGAGGGAGCTGCGCGCAGAGACAGCGCCCCGGCCGCCCGCAGGTACTGTTTACCCTGCTGCTGCTGCCTTTGTTCTGTCCCGCGCTGGGCCAGTCGGTCCGCTACTCCATCCCCGAGGAGCTGGACCGCGGCTCTGTGGTGGGGAACCTCGCCAAGGATCTGGGGCTCAGTGTCCTGGAAGTATCTGCAAGGAAACTGCGGGTTAGCGCTGAGAAGCTGCACTTCAGTGTGGACGCGGAGAGCGGGGATTTACTGGTGAAGGACCGCATAGACCGCGAGCAGATATGCAAAGAGAGAAGAAAGTGTGAGTTGCAGTTGGAAGCCGTGCTGGAAAACCCCTTGAATATTTTTCACGTCGTTGTGGAGATTGAGGATGTTAACGACCATGCTCCTCAATTCGAGAAGAAAGAGACGCGTTTAGAAATTCTAGAATCTGTGTCGGTTGGTACACGAATACCCCTTGAGCCTGCCACTGACCCCGACATAAATTTCAACTCAATTAAAGATTACCAGATAAGCTCCAACCCTTTTTTCTCATTAATGGTTAGAGTTAATCCTGATGGCGGCAAAAGCCCGGAGCTGTCTCTTGAGAAACTCCTAGACAGGGAAGAACAGAGGTCTCATCGCTTGATACTGACTGCCTTGGATGGAGGGGACCCGCCTCGCAGTGCTACCACTCAAATAGAAATATCTGTAAAGGACATCAATGACAACCCTCCAGTGTTCAGCAAAGAAGAATATAGGATCAGTGTTAGTGAAAATCTGCCCCCAGGGTCCTCCGTATTGCAAGTGACAGCCACTGATGAGGATGAGGGCCTCAATGCTGAGATAAATTACCACTTTCGGAGCACTGCCCAGAGCACAAGACACGTGTTCTCTCTAGATGAGAAAACAGGCGTGATTAAGAACAACCAGCCATTGGATTTTGAAGATGTAGAAAGATACACCATGGAAGTGGAAGCGAAGGATGGAGGTGGTCTCTCTACACAGTGTAAAATCATCATAGAAGTCCTAGATGAAAACGACAACAGCCCAGAAATAATCATCACCTCTCTTTCTGAACGTATCTTGGAGAATTCTCCTCCGGGAGTGGTGGTGGCCCTCTTCAAAACGCGAGATCGGGATTTCGGAGGAAACGGAGAAGTGACGTGTGACATAGGCAAAGACCTGCCTTTCAAGATCCATGCTGCTTCTAGCAACTACTACAAGTTAGTAACAAATGGAGCCATAGACCGAGAGCAGAACCCACAGTACAATGTCACCATCTCTGCCACGGACAGGGGCAAGCCACCCCTTTCTTCCAGTACAACCATCACTCTGCACATCACCGACGTCAATGATAACGCCCCGGCTTTCCAGAAGTCTTCTTACATAGTCCACGTGGCGGAGAACAACCCACCTGGCGCCTCCATCGCTCAAGTCAGCGCCTCTGACCCGGATTTGGGGTCCAATGGTCACATCTCCTACTCCATCATAGCCAGCGACCTGGAACCTAAATCGCTGTGGTCCTACGTGACCGTGAACGCGCAGAGCGGAGTGGTGTTCGCTCAGCGCGCCTTCGACCACGAGCAGCTGCGCTCCTTCCAGCTGACTCTGCAGGCGCGAGACCAGGGCTCGCCCGCGCTCAGCGCCAACGTGAGCATGCGCGTGCTGGTGGGCGACCGCAACGACAACGCGCCGCGCGTGCTGTACCCCGCGCTCGAGCCCGACGGTTCCGCGCTCTTCGACATGGTACCGCGCGCCGCCGAACCCGGATACCTGGTCACTAAGGTGGTGGCGGTGGACGCGGACTCCGGACACAACGCCTGGCTGTCGTACCACGTGCTGCAGGCCAGCGATCCCGGGCTCTTCAGCCTGGGCCTGCGCACTGGCGAGGTGCGCACAGCGCGTGCCTTGGGCGACAAGGACGCCGCGCGGCAGCGCCTGTTGGTTGGTGTTCGCGATGGTGGACAGCCGCCGCTCTCGGCTACAGCCACGCTGCTGCTAGTGTTCGCTGACAGCCTGCAGGAGGCCCTGCCAGACCTCAGTGACCACCCACTACCCCCTGACCCTCAAGCGGAGCTGCAGTTCTACTTGGTGGTGGCCTTGGCCTTGATTTCTGTGCTTTTCCTCCTGGCTGTGATTCTAGCCATCGCGCTTCGACTGCGACACTCCTCCAGCCCCTCTGTCTGGGGCTGCTTTCAATCTGGTCTTTGCTCTAAGACTAGGCCAGGGGTTCCTCTCAATTACAGCGAGGGGACTCTGCCTTATTCCTACAATCTGTGCGTTGGGCATACGGGAAAGGCGGAGTTAAATTTCCTGAAATGCAGCGCACCTTTGCCTTCTGCTGAAGAAGTAGTTTGCGGTAGTTCTCCTGGGGCTTTAATTCCTCTTCACGTTGGGGATGATTTGACTACACATCCCGAGACTCTAACACCGGTAAGTTTCGTTTTATTCTTTAATAATCCTAGTTTCTCTTATTTCAGCCACAGTAACTTCGTTTTCGTATCCAGGTTCATATTTGAAAAATTGGTAGCTAACTGCCACCGCGTCTTCTCAATGGTGAAATAACGACCTTTTGTTCATAAGTTAATCTATCCTTCAGTGAAAAAAAAAGTTAACAAATTGGAGCTATCTTGTAAGGCTCCGGTTGGCAAACAAAAGCAGTAAACGTCTTGGGGCTGGAGAGATGGTTCAAGGGTGAAGAGCACTGTTGTTCCTGCAGGGGACAGGCATTCGGTTTCCAGCACCCCCAGTGGCTCACAACCATCCGCCACTGTAGTTCCAGGGCACGAGAGAATCTGACACCGTCTTCTGACTTCCTTGTGCTCCAGGCATGCACATGGTACGCGTTCATATACGAGGGCCAAACACTCATACATATAATAAATATAATAGTCTTGACGTCTAACCAAATAAATGAGTAGCCTACCCAAACTTGCTACTTACATGAATTTATGCATCTAATTTATATGTTTTAGTGTCTAAAATGTTTAAAGCGTGCTGAACTGTCAGAACGGTGCTCCTTTCCAGGAAAATATTCATTGTAAATCATTTCTGCTGCATTTGGGTGTCTCCATTTATTTTTCACTTTTTTTTCTCTACCCTTGAGAGGTGATTGGGACATCGGCTAACAGATCTTCCAACTTCTGTTCAGTGGCAGATGCTTCTCTTGGGAGGAGACTTGAAGTTTTGTTCACATTCTCAAGGTTTTGTGGTCCCCAAAAGTTAGTGTAACTGCCCGAGAGGGATTTTCTCCTCTACATCAGTTCTTCCAGCTTTATTATTCTCCTCCCTTTTCTTAGAACTGCTTTTGCACATTTTCTCAATCTCTTCCTCTACATCGAAAGGAATGATTTCCAAGAACACTGTGAGATGCTTTTGTCTTTTTGCTTTCAATCTGTTTGTGATTTAAGATCTTTGAAAAAAAAAAGACAAAATTTACAGTTGGGTCTGGCCATTACCTACCTAGAATTCCAATGGTCAGGGGATAAGACCTGCCTCTCAGAACTATAACAAAATATTTGAAGAATGCCACACTGACTGAAACACTTTTAAACACCCTGTTTCCTCTGTAAAAGAAGTAAACCTGTGACTCCTTCTGGGTGTGGGTGGCAGGCAAAACTCCAAATTCGTAGTCCACCTTCTTCACACTACCAGATAAGCTGCCTATGAGAAGACATTGTTAATATTGGTATTAATGCTCTGATACAATAAGATACTTGGTATAGGGCTGGAGAGATGGCTCAGTGGTTAAGAGCACTGGCCGCTCCCCCAGGAGCTCCTGAGTTCAATTCCCAGCAACCACATGGTGGCTCACAACCATCTGTAATGAGATCTGGTGCCCTCTTCTGACATAAAGGTGTACATGCAGATAGAGAACTGATAGACAAAATAAATAAATCTTTTGAAAAAAAAGATACTTGGCATAAAAACTTATTCACAACTCTACCTCAGGGTTAGGCGTTTACCTCAAGTGTAGAGTATTTGCCTCACATCCTTTGATTCTCTACACTGGAAAAAAATCACATCACTGTATCTTTGGTTTTGTTTCTGGGGCCTGAAATGCTTGTAACATCTTTGTCTTCCCATTACAGCACACTTTGGTAGGCAACCATACAATTTGCTCCTTTTACTTTCTAATTATTTGATGAGTTCATTTCTAAATAGCCTAATTAAATTTTCAATAACAATCCTATGTAAGAAAAAGTACATTTTTAAAAATCATTAATAATAGACTATCTTGTCAGCCTCTTACAGGGTTATAAACTAAACAACATAATCAAATTAAAGAAAATAAAAATCTTTCAAAGTGAATTTTATCAAAAGGAGTATAATTGTCTTCATGTGAATGAATATAAAAGTTGTGAGATTTTATCAAAACAAAAATAAACATTATGTTTTAAGTAAGTATGTTCCTGTTGGAAATAAGTTGTAAGTATTATCAATTTAACTTATTACACTTCCCAGTAACCTACGAGTTGAGAAGGGCTCGGATGTAGCTCAGTGGTGGAGAACTTGTCTACCATGTATGAAGCCCTTATTTCAATCTCACACCCTTTAAAAAGAATGAACAGAGAAATCAAAGATCAATATAAAATAAAACAACTCAGCAGATGCATTTGCTGAGATTCTGTAGTGGGTGCAGTAACTTCTTCAGACTCTGAGCGCCGCTATTCACCTACGAAGAGCAAAACGCCGCCAGAGCTCAGTCGGGATTCTCAGGGTCCAAAGGCTTAAAGCCTCTCAGTTCCCGCAAACCGGCTCCTGGGCTGCAACGAAAATCACCCAGGAATTTAAGGTGCTCCATCTGAGACTCCTGAGGCCACAGAAAGAAGAAAAGAATCGGGTAAAACACACAGCGCGCCCGGCTGATCGGCGAGAGCTTTGAGAAAATTCCGTGGTCAGGAGACAATGGCCGCACAAAGGAATCTCTTAGAGCGCACCAAACTGGTCCTCCTTTTCCTGTGGATGCCCTGGGAGTCCGCAGCTCGGCAGATCCGCTACTCCGTTCCTGAAGAACTAGAGAAAGGCTCTTTTGTGGGCAACATCTCCAAGGACCTGGGGCTGGAGCCCCGCGAGCTGGCGGAGCGCGGGGTCCGCATCGTCTCCAGAGGTAGGTCGCAGCTTTTCTCTCTGAACCCGCGAAGCGGCAGCTTGGTCACTGCAGGCAGGATAGACCGGGAGGAGCTCTGCGCCCAGAGCGCGCCCTGTCTCGTCAGCTTTAACATCCTTGTGGAAGACAGGGTGAAACTTTTCGGGATAGAGATAGAGGTAACGGATGTCAATGACAATGCGCCAAAATTCCAAGCAGAAACTCTAGATGTAAAAATTAATGAAAACGTCGCATCAGGGATGCGTTTTCCTCTCCCGGAAGCTATTGATCCGGATGTGGGCGTGAACTCTCTGCAGAGCTACCAGCTCAGCCCCAGTAAGCACTTCTCCCTAGGCTTTCAGAGCGCTGCTAATGGCGTCAAGTACCCGGAGCTCGTGCTGGAGCACGCCCTAGATCGTGAGGAAGAGGCCATTCACCACCTGGTCCTAGTGGCCTCTGACGGGGGTAATCCTTCCAGATCAGGCACGGTCCTCATCACTGTGACTGTCTTTGATGCAAATGACAATGCTCCAGTCTTCACCTCGCCTGAATACCGAGTGAATATTCCAGAGAACTTGCCTGTGGGCACTCCGCTGCTAAAAGTGACTGCCACCGACAAAGACCAAGGCGCCAATGGAGAAGTGACATACTCCTTCCGAAAATTACAGGACACACAACTGTTGAAATTCCAACTAGACAAAAGTACTGGGGAAATAAAAATATCTGAAAATCTAGATTACGAAGAAATGAGTTTCTATAAAATAGAAATCCAAGCTGAAGATGGAGGGGCCTATCTTGCAACTGCGAAGGTGTTGATTACAGTAGAAGATGTAAACGACAACAGCCCGGAGGTGACCATCACCTCTCTCTTTAGTCCAGTGGTTGAAGACTCGCCTGTGGGAACTGTCATAGCCCTTTTGAACGTGCATGATTTAGACTCTGGGCAGAATGGAGAGGTAACCTGTTCCCTCTCAGGGAATCTGCCATTTAAATTAGAAAAGTCCATTGACAGTTACTATAGACTGGTGACAGAAAGAGCCCTTGACAGGGAGCAGGTGTCCTCTTACAACATCACAGTAACAGCCGCGGATGGGGGAAACCCGCCTTTGTCAACCAAAGCTCACTTCACTCTGCACGTGGCGGACATCAACGACAACCCACCCACCTTCTCTCAGGTCTCCTACTTTACCTATATCCCAGAGAACAACCCCAGGGGCGCCTCCATCTTCTCAGTGACCGCCCTGGATCCAGATAGCAAAGAGAACGCCCAGATCGTTTACTCTCTGGCTGAAGACACCATTGAGGGGGCTCCACTTTCTTCCTACATATCCATCAACTCAGACACTGGCATCCTGTATGCGCTCTGGTCCTTTGACTATGAGCAGTTCCGTGAACTGCGGGTGCAGGTGACTGCCAGTGACAGCGGGAAGCCTCCCCTCAGCAGTAATGTGTCATTGACCCTGTTCGTGCTGGATCAGAATGACAACTCTCCGGAAATCTTGTACCCCACTCCACCCACCGATGGCTCTACTGGGGTAGAGCTTGCTCCCCGATCAGCAGAGTTGGGCTATCTGGTGACGAAGGTGGTGGCGGTGGACAGAGACTCGGGACAGAACGCCTGGCTGTCCTATCGCCTGCTCAAGGCCAGCGAACCAGGGCTCTTCTCGGTGGGGCTGCACACGGGCGAGGTGCGCACCGCGCGGGCTCTGCTGGACAGAGATGCGCTCAAGCAGAGTCTGGTGGTGTCTGTGCAGGACCACGGCCAGCCCCCTCTCTCCGCCACGGTCACTTTGACTGTTGCAGTAGCCGACAGCATCCCTGATGTTCTGGCGGACTTGGGCAACCTGGAGCCACCGCAGGACTCTGAAGCCTCAAGCCTCACCCTCTACCTAGTCGTGGCAGTGGCAGCGGTCTCCTGTGTTTTTCTCGCCTTTGTCATTGTGTTGTTGGCTCTCAAACTTCGGCGCTGGCACGAGTCTCACGCGCTTCAGTCTTCCAGAGATGGATTGGGTGGCCTGCCTGCCTCTCAGTATGTGGGCGTGGACGGGGTGCGCGCTTTCTTGCAGACCTATTCGCACGAGGTTTCCCTAACTGCTGATTCGCGCAAGAGTCACCTGATCTTCCCGCAGCCCAACTACGCAGACACGCTCATCAGCCAGGAGAGCTGCGAGAAAAAAGATCCTTTGTCTCTGTTAGATGATTCCAAGTGCCCTGTAGAAGATGCCCCTCTGGTGCCAGTGAGTGCTGATTTTACCTTTTCTTTAAACAATTATGGTCAGATCTACATTTAGGCTTGAATTCAGGTGGTGGGAATATTAGATCTCCACTTTTTTAAAACCACTTC